CTTGAGGACAAGACGAAATATTCGTTTCCTGAATAAATTATATTGTGTTCAACTGTCTAACTCAACGTTTCCGCATTATTTTTTCTGTCATATTTTCTATATATATATATATATATATATATATATATATATAGCCTTATCTATATTGTTGTATGTAATGTATGTATATAAAATAATATATAGTATTATAACAATAGGCCTATAAGTTAGGCAAAATACTGGATAAACAGTACAGTGGAAAACAATGATTTGATTTCGGTAGAAATAAATGGAAAGTAAAAGCTGAAACGTAATTGTAAGTTAACAGCCAGAAATAGAACCAGAGCTTAGGCAACACTAGTCCTTTCTCAGTAGCAAGTACGTTACATAAATGAATAAATTTACATGAGGTAGGATCAACAAAATTATTGGGCTATAATAACATGTTCTTGCTAGTTTATATATGACTTTATTGTAGAACAATAAGAAATTATTTATAGTAGTGTAGCAATATAGCAGTAAAAATGACACTTGTCTCACCTGAACTGTAAGCTTTGGAAGACTAAGTCTTGCTGCTAATTCTTCCCGCATGAATGCATCTAGGTAGTGAGACTTCATGAAGAATCTCTCAAGTTCACAAAGTTGAAACGTTGAAAATATTGTACGATTCCGTTGGTGTTTTTTCTTTTTTTCCTTGCCTGCATTGCTGTTGTCGTACTCTGCTTGAATGTTGGAGTCAAACTCAACTTCGTCTGATGTATCTTCTTTGTAATGTTGTGGCTTTGTCAAGAAATAATCATCTAGAATTTAAAAAAAATATAATATATATATATATATATAATATATATATATATGTATATATATATTAATAATAATATATTAATATGTATTTTTTGTTAATTTTAATTATAAGTCAATCGTGACGTCATCACTGTAACTCCCAGTGTTATTTGCCTATTCCCCAGCATCCAATAATTTTTTGTATTATTTAAGGTTCGTGTGCAAAAAAAATCCTCATTTTTTCTTCACCGCGAATACATCATCGCGCACCGCGATAATAATTGAATTGTAATTGAAAATTACTTTCGTAAAACAAGCTTAATTAGAACCCGAAGAAAGTTACTTCAAATTCAATAGTAAGTATGAAGAATTGAAAAATTCTTTGAATCAGTGGACACTCATAAACACAACAAACTGAACGTTTAATAGAAATATTCTAGACCTATTTTAAAGACTCAAGGAACAAATGTAGATGTAGGCCTATGGCCAGGCAGGCCGCCCGGGCCGCAAATTTTTTTTTTCGTGAAGAGCCAGGCATAGGGAGACATATAAAGCGCTCTGATTGGCTAATGATAAGATGACATAATCACACTTTTGTTTCACAGTCGCAAGGTATCTCGCACACTCGTCAGAGCAATGCGGCTGCGATACACGCCAACAAAACAATCCATGCACTTACAACGCGCCAAGAGCAAGCCTGATTTTTATACGTGTAACAGATTACAGTATTGGGAACAACATTTAGTAGGCTACCATAGTCACCGCTGATCATACAACTCTAATACCCACTGCTACCAATAGGCCTAGAAAACAGTGTAGTAGGGCCTACTATGAGTACAAACGAGGTCGTTTGCATAGAGGGCCTAATAGTAGGCCTAGCGTTAGTAGGCCCAGGGATCTCACAGACTTTTAGGCAAGATATGTTATACTGTACCTTGTTTAAATAGCGATTTCAAATAGTTAACGCACCCTCACAGACGAAAAATAGAAATTTTAGAAAAACAAAAGTGTATTATGGCTTTCACTCCCCTGAAATATCCACAAATTAGATAAATTTAAAGCATTTATCAATCTCATTACAACACTTATTTCAATTCATATCAATGAAAATTTTATCTTCATTTTGTCCTTCACTTTGCTTTTGGCAAAATCATTTTGCTAAATAATTCTTCCCTCCCTTTGACTGCTTCTACAAAAATAAGTTCACTAAACAAGGCGCAGTATTATTATTCGAAAAGTATTTCCTTT